TTATAACTTGGGGGGACTAAAAAAGGAGCATGACTTCTTGTAAATCTATGATCTCAAATTAAAAAAAAAAATAAAAACTTGGGAGGCAGAGGCAGGTGGATCTCAGTGAACAGCTGGGGCTACAGGGAGACACTGTCTCAAAAAGACAGAAAAAAAAAAGCATTTTTAGGACAGGCACAGTGGTACATATATAAGGATTATGAGCTGGAGACTAATCTGGGCTACACAATGAGACCTTGTGTAGAAAAATAAAAGAAAGAAGAAAGAAAAAAAGCATATTTGATAGGGTCTGGCAGAAATGTCTGCCTCTGCCTCAAGTGCTGGGATTAGAGTCATGAGGCACCACGCCTGGCCTGTTTAGGTTGAACTGGCTGTGAGCCACCACATCCAGCTTCCCCCACCCCATCTTTCTGTGGGTTCAGTTTGAGGAACCTCAGCTACCCACCTTCTAAATTTTTGCCATTTGGTCCCAGAATGTGTAATTTCCATGACTGACATGGTAATAGGAAAACCTCTGGAAAACCTTTATTGTGTTAGGTTCCTTCAGTGCTTCTGTGTTAGTCATTTTTTTGGCAGTATGAGAACATTCTGGAAAATGGAGGCGGGAGGCAGGATTTACTTGGGATCCTGGTTTTGGACCTGAGTGTCCAGGCCAGCCTGGTCTCCATAGCCTGGTCTTCACAGCTGGCTGGCTCCATGGCTATGGGCCTAGGATGGGAAAGAACACCAAGACGAGGGCATGATGAGCAAAGTTGTCTGCCAGTGGCAGGAAGTACAGAGGGCTCAGGCAACCCCAGTGGCCTCTTCCAACCAAGACCAACCTCCTAGTTTTCATCATCTCCAAGAATGCCCTTCATTAGGGCAGATCCTGGTGATCCAATCACTTCCCCAAAGCCCTCTGAACAAGACAACACTTGAGGCTTCCAGGCATCTCAAATTCAACCATAGCACCTTTATCAGCATTCTGCATTATATCTTGTTTTACCTGCTAATGAACCTGCTATTGGTCCTCTTAAATCAGGCCCTGTGGTGTGGTGGCACACACCTTTAATCCCAGCACTTGGGAGGCAGAGGCAGGAAAATAGGAATTCTATGTAGTGAGTGAGTTCCAGGCAAGTCAGGGAAACACAGTGAGACCCTGTGTCAAACAAAACAAAACAAACAAAGACCCTGGCCAAAGGAATGCAGATTTAAAGTCAGAACCTCATATTCACCACCTTTTACTGGTCTAGAAGCATTGCTGTACAATCCTCTCTTTCTGCCCTTCTGTATACTCTACAACTATTCTGTTCTAAAACTCTTCCTCTTTAACTCTCAGGCAGGAGTGACTTGTATTTGCATATACATACAGACAGGAACCAGGAATCCAAGGCCATCTCAGCAACTAGAGTTCTAGAACTCCACTCCACCTGGGATTCAAGAATCTGTCTCAAAAAAACAATACACCCCCCCCCCCCAAATCGTGATCTATAGTTTTGTGCATATGAAACTCACAGTGGAAGGAAATGAATATTCTAATCTCAGTACTGGACACTAATAAATATTTGAATTTTTTTTGAGAGGGTATCCTTGTAGCCCTCACTAGCCTGGCACTCTCTTTGTAGACCCAGGCTGGCCTCAAACTCACAGATTCACCTGTCTCTGCCTCCTGAGTGCGGAGTGCTGGGATTAAAGGTGTGCACCACAATGCCTGGCAAGATTTTGAATTGTGTGTATGTTTGCACATATATAATTTTATTTTATTTATTTAAAGACAGGTTCTTAGTATGTGGCCCTGGATGGCCTGATCTATGTAGTCCCGCTGACCTTGATCTCACATAGATCTGCCTGCCTTTGCCTCCTGAGTGCTGGTGCTGCCCGACATGCAGCACTCAGGTTGGTCTTTTTTTTTTTGGGTTTTTTTGAGACAGGGTCTCCCTGTAGCCCCAGCTATCCTGGAATTCACTATGTAGACCAGGCTGGCCTTAAAAACTCACGGAGATCTGCCTGCCTCTGCCTCCTGAGCGCTGGGATTAAAGGCCTGTGCCACAGTACTATCCTTTTTTTGAAATATTTTTTATTTATTATTTTTATTTTATGTGTATGCGTGTATTGCCTGCATAATAGGTAAGTGCACCCGTGTGGTGCAAAGCCCACAGAGGACAGGTGGGTACTGGAATTCGAACCTGGGTCTTCTGCAAGAACAACAAGTGTTCCTAACTGTGGAGCCAACTCTCCAGCCCCATGAATACTATTCTTATTGTAGTGCTAAAAGCCAACAGCTTTGTTGGAAAAGTCCATATTTAGCCAGCAAGGTAGGGAATGTGGTAGGCAGAGGCAGGCGGATCTCTGTGCGTTTGAGGCCATCCTGGTCTACACAGCGAGTTCCAGGCCAGCTGGGGCTACAAAGAGACCCTGACTCAAAAAGACCAAAAAAGAAAAGTCCGTATTTAAAAGCCGGGTTCAGGAATCAAGCTCCGTGGTAGAGTGCTTACTTAGCATGTGAAAGGCCCTGGGTTTGATCTATATTACCACAAAGTAAAAATGTAAAAATAAGGTCAATTGTCTAGAAAAATTACAATTTCTGGTGTATTTATTTTAAAGTTTAATGTGCAGAAAGAAGTGTGTGCGTATATGTGTTTATTTATTTATCTCTTATACAGGCTCTCACTATGCAGCCTTGGCAGGCCTTCGACTCAGATGCCTGTGCTGTGCTGAGAAGAGAGGCTTTCAGCCATCACGACCACCATGTTTTTTATATTTGTATTTAATAATGAACTTTACGTAAGTTATATTTCACCGGGCGTGGTGGCGCACGCCTTTAATCCCAGCACTCAGGAGGCAGAGGCAGGCGGATCTCTATGAGTTCGAGAACAGCTGGGTCTACATAGAGAGTTCCAGGTCACCTGGGGATACAGGGAGACCCTGTCTCAAAAAGATCAAAAAAAAAAAAAAAGTCATATTACAAATTGATCACTTATCATGAGTAAGTTGTATTTCTAAGCAGAATAGCTCCTTCTAATTTGTAATTAACTTTTACCTTGACAGCCTTCTTTGCAACTCCAGACTTCCTTTGGCTGTAAAGGTAACAAACGTGAAAAGGCCCGCAGGGGGTTAAACCCTGAAAACAATTCAGAAGGCTCTTTGCCTCTATTTCTTTCTGCAGCCATCCGAGAAAACTATGCTTTTGGTTAGGCTGTGCCTGGAAGCCGAGGTCTGCCCGAATGGGGGCCGTCCACGTCCACACGCTGGCCGCTGGGCAGGGGACTTCACTATTTTGACCGTGGTAGCGGCTTCAGGAGATGCAAAAAAGCGCAGCGAGTCGCCGCCTGCACACGGGCGGAGACGCTCGGGAGATGCGGGTGACCCATCACCTTGCACGTGTGGAGTCTCGCAGCCGGGGTCCAGCTTTCCAGTCCGAGTAAGGGATAGCCTGGGCTGCGCTCCGCCCGGGGGGTCTGCTCTTCCGGCAGCAGTGATACCTCCCTTTTGCTTTTCGGGAGTAGGCTCAGAGGGTTTCGGTTTTCCGAGCCCGAACGCTCAGGGCGCTCACAGCGGGGGTCGGTTCCTACCGGGGTGTGTGCACGCGATCGTGGGCTTTTCTCGGTTTTAGACGCTCTCCGTGTCCGAAAGATGACGTACAGAACCGAAACTGCAAGTGGAGTTGTCTAGTGAAGCCACCGCCGCCGGCCGCACCCGACCCGCCACGGGCCGCCTCGGTGTTGACACCCTCCCCTCCCCAGTCAGGCCCGACCCGATCCCACAGTTCCGGTCCGCAGCTTGGCTTCCACCCGAGCCGGAGCTGAGCCGGAGAGGCCCCGCCGGCAGGGTGGACGGGGGAGGGGCGGTGAGGTCAGCAGGGCGGCCTGGCCGGCGCATGCGCTGGGCCAGCCCCGTGAGTGGCGGCCACGCGCGGGGGCGGGGGCGGGGGCGGGAGGCTCCTGTGTGTGGGCGAGCCCGGCGAGTTTGAGAGGTCTGTGGGCTGGGTCTCCCCGGGGGAGCCTCCCCGGGCCTCACCGCCTGACAGGACCCTGTGCCAGTGTGTCTGTGTGGACCCACTGCCGCTAAACTTCCTCCTCCTCTGCCCCCGAGAGCAAGCGAGCCGAGCCAGGGGAGCCTAGAAGGAGCCTAGCACGTAGGAGCCGATCGTGAGGGAGCCTAGGAGAGAGAGACGATCGTGAGGGAGCTCATCGTGAGGGAGCCTAGGAGGGAGAGCCGATCGTGAGGGAGCCTAGGACAGAGAGACGATCGTGAGGGAGCTCATGTGAGGGAGCCTAGGAGGGAGAGCCGATCGTCAGGGAGCTCATCGTGAGGGAGCCTAGGAGAGAGAGACGATCGTGAGGGAGCCCTAGGAGAGAGAGCCTAGGAGGGAGAGCCGATCGTGAGGGAGCCTAGGACAGAGAGACGATCGTGAGGGAGCTCATGTGAGGGAGCCTAGGAGGGAGAGCCGATCGTCAGGGAGCTCATCGTGAGGGAGCCTAGGAGAGAGAGACGATCGTGAGGGAGCTCATCGTGAGGGAGCCTAGGAGGGAGAGCCGATCGTGAGGGAGCCTAGGAGGGAGAGCCTATCGTCAGGGAGCTCATCGTGAGGGAGCCTAGGAGGGAGAGCCGATCGTCAGGGAGCTCATCGTGAGGGAGCCTAGGAGGGAGAGCCGATCGTCAGGGAGCTCATCGTGAGGGAGCCTAGGAGGGAGAGCCGATCGTCAGGGAGCTCATCGTGAGGGAGCCTAGGAGGGAGAGCCGATCGTCAGGGAGCTCATCGTGAGGGAGCCTAGGAGGGAGAGCCGATCGTCAGGGAGCTCATCGTGAGGGAGCCTAGGAGGGAGAGCCGATCGTCAGGGAGCTCATCGTGAGGGAGCCTAGGAGGGAGAGCCGATCGTCAGGGAGCTCATCGTGAGGGAGCCTAGGACACAGAGTCAAGTTGTGAGGAAGCCGATCCACAGGGAGCCTAAGACCTGGAGCCCAGCGCCAGGGAACCGACTGTCAGGGAACCTTTGGAGAGGGGCCGAGCTGTGAGGGAGCCCTAGTCAGGGAGCCTAGCAGAGGCCGCGGTCGCTCGCGGACGGGAATCCCCCACTACAACTGGAGCAGCTGTCAAAACTTCGCTGCGCCGGGGGCCTACCGGGTGACGAGGCCGGGGCGGGGTATCGCGGCTCCGCCGGGCCTGGG